AGGTGTTTCACAGAGTTCGTGGTGTGTCGCAGTCACCACGGGTGCTAGCCGCGGCGCTAACTGCGTCCGGCCATGCTGGCTGCTGCCCTCGGCGCTGGCTGCAGCGTTGGCTGTGTACCCTGGGTGCAGCAGCGGTGCCTGGCCTGGATGGCTGCTGCCCTCGTGGCTGAAACAACGAAGACTCGATCACGGGGACTGTGATCCAGTTAACGGTCTTCCTACCAACAGGTGTACAGCTACAGCTGCCACAGATCGGTTCCTGCGCTTCTTAATCTTAAACAAACACTGTAACTTTCCTATAGACCTTGGGAATTTGCTGCGCTCGCAGATAGGAATGACATGAATTTTTGCGCTTTTGTTGAAAATGGCAGTACCTGAAGCAGGCCTACGCACAGATGGTTTCCAAAATACGGCCTGTGGGGTCAGCTGCAGTGCATCCCCCTGTGGAAGCTGTTCTAATGAGCTGGAAAACCTTGTTAGTGGTGGGTGGAGCCTTTCAGGAAGATGGATTTTAACTTTTCGGAGTATGCTTGGGGACGGTCCTCCTATACGGGCCGTTCAGGGTCAAAAATGCTTGTGATTCACCTTTGCGTCTTTTAACCGCTGATGGGAGGGAGTGGGAACAGTGGCGACACACCTCTGTGTGCCCACGCGTGTGTGTGCGCGCGTGCCCTGTGCTTGTCCTTGGGGGAAGGAGACGAAATGAGCCCCCAGGACGGGAAGGAACAGCACCGACAAGCGCTGCGGATGATGAAGGCGCCGGTTGTGCCCTGGCCTCCCTCTCCCCATGACGGCCGGGGCTGCGTGTTTCTCTTTCACCCCGCCGTACGAAGGGCGAGGGTGTCTCGCGTGGGTGTGGGGGCTGTTGCAGTGACCACCGGAACGTTTTCTAAGGGGATCTCGCTGTACAGGTGGGCGTCTGGCCCATCGGCGCCACCCTGGTTCCTTGTGTCTGGTGCTGGAGGGGTCTTCTATCTTCTTAAATTTACCAACATTTTATGTTTTAAGCGTTGCTTTTCTAAGGGAGCTCGGCCTGCCGAGTTGGTGACTGTACAAAACCCCCACCCCTGCACAGTTTTGGGGTTACCTTTCAGGGAGACTAGTGCAGAAAGGAGGGAGAAGGGGCACTTCGTCGTCAGTGCTTTGGGGGAAGAGCTACGGTTCCTTTTAATTGTGTTCTTTGTGCTCGTGTATTTAGATACCAAAATACAGCATTTCACCGCATGTATAAAATTGTGTTTGCATTTATTTAATTTAGAGTTCTTTTTTAAAAGCATGTAGTCTTGAATGTTTGTTCTCCGTTTTTTTTCACATCATTACTCTGATACTGCTTGATTAGCTCCCTCCCCAGTCATGATTGGTAATTAAAATAGGCATTAAAATTAGTCGCTTAGCAATTTTGCTGTTCAATTGGCAATTAAATTACTTAATTGCAATTAAAGTCCTAATTTTAATTGGCAAAATGATAGATGTAGATTTAAGATAATATGTATAAATACTTTAATAAGTGTCTATATAAGGATTACTTAATTACTCAACTTCAAGTTTATGCTGTTAACTTTAGAACTTTTAAGTGAGTAATGAAATTTATATTACATCTATTCTAAGGATATGGTAATTAGATGTATTACTTATCCCTATAAGGGCCTTCGCAGTAAGTTTCTTCTGTGATGTTAAAACTATAGCCTGGATGAACTATTGTGGTGCGACTGATGCCGATCGTTACGTGCCAGCTCCGTGGTGGGAGTCCCGGGAGCCGAGGGGACGTGCGGGGCGGCCGACCGAGCTCCTCCAGCGCCCTTCGGGTGAGCACCATGAGGCGAAACCAAAGCAGCACGTCGTCCGCTGGCGGTCCGTGAAAAAGTTGTTTTAAATAGTCCTTGCAGATCAGAGGCATCTTACAGCCTTACATTATTTCTTTACTAATCTTTATCATCTCGTCTCCCGTTGGGTAAATCTCAGTAGTAACTCTGTAGTAGCAAGAGAATGTCACCACGAAGTGGAAGTGATCTTCCTGGATGCGAGCGAGCCAGACGGTGGGAGGCAGTTTTGTCTTGGGCGTTCGGGTTTTTACAGCGTAAGCTTAAAGGGAAAAGCATTTTCAAAGTGCGAATGATGACCGACTTACAGCAAGAGAAGCGTATTAGGGAGGAGTGATCACAGTTTCACATAAACCGTTCACATTTAAGTGCTTCGTGGGGTTTTTACGTAAGGCAAGGATTTTGTGTGGATGGTGCTGGCTCTTTAGGTTAAGGCAGCACCGCGTTGGGTGCTCTGGCTTCTACGCTGTCGTTCCGCGCAGAACAGCACTTGCAGGGTTTGGTGCACGCTGTCTGTCCCCAGCCTTCGCTACGTCTCGCGCGCTCCGGTCTATCGGACTTTTAAGAAAAGGCACCTGCGAGCAGAGGGGGCCGTACCTCGTGTGTGGCGGCGCTCTCCCACCGTGGCTTGCCGTGGGAAAGGACGTGCGGTTACCTGACCTCTGC